TCCGTACTGCTTATTTTCAGCACACACACCGCAATAAGCTTCCATTAAGTTTTGATCGCTAACCTCGCCATCTTGTCTATCCAGATTTAGTTAAGCCAATGTGTTTTTCCAAGCGGAACATCGGTGAAGGTTCGTTGATGGTGTGGGGCGCTTTCAGCTCCGGCTATACCCTAAAACTACACTTTTCCTCAAATATACTCCAATTTCAATCAACTCGGATGAACAGATTGGAGTGCCACGGTTTTCTCTCTGCATGCTAACAATAGTGAGAAAACATTAAAATTTCAACAGGATTAACGACTATTCATGACAGTATATTAAAAAGAGAGTGGTTTGAGGACAAAAAAAAAATCGTGTTGCTTGTTTTGCCAGCACATTTTACCTATTAAAACTTAATGAAGAGCTTATGAGCTGACAAGTAATTTTTAAGCAAACAACAAAACCGACTTCAATTCTCATACAAATCCATTTTTTATCTCTTACTTGCATATAGAATATAATATAGAATAATAAGGTTATACTACGCAAAGCATTCGCATTTCCTTGTAGCTGAAACACAACACCGGTGAACAGCGAACTCAACACAGCGAAATTCGCATCGAAATTAGAACACCATATGAAATCGAACACAGCCAAAACGAAATGCGAAGTTCGCTCGGCGGCATTTCTAACCATTTTTTTAGCCGAAGGTTTTGGACAGCTTTAATAATGATACTTGTCCATCAGCTAATAAAATGAAGCAATCAACACATTTTGTTTTAAATAATTTTGGACGAAAATCTGTGCCAACTAGTGATGGCAAAAAAATTTAATAATCGATTAATTGGTTAAATGATTAATCGAAAGCATTCGAATACTAATTGCAATTGATCGGTCGTTTCGATTAAAATCGAAAATAAATGAAACCCATTTAATTATTTATAAGAATTGAGGGTTTTATTAAAGAATACATTGCGCCAATGCCAATTTTAGGATCCAAATTTGACTAATATGTTTACGTGGTTACGTGTTTAAGTGTTTGTACCGAATGTATGTACTAGGGCTGATGATACCCGGGTGACCGGGGAATTCGATTACCCGGGTATTACCCGATTTTCCCGGGTACCCGAGTACCCGAGTAATATATATATGTTGATCCGGTTAAACGAAAAACTCCCGGGTAACGCGACATAAAGCTTCTTGTATAATCTTTTTTTAATTATTTGAGCATCGGTTCTCTTTATAGCTACACTTTGACCAATTCTGGTGGAAATTCCTTTTGAAGGACTTGAATAAGTAGAAAAAATTAGCAATGCATCCAGTTTTACAACAGATCATTGACAATAACATTTGATAGTTATGTAATTCTTACACAATTAAAAGTCAGACCTACTTTCTTACAGTCTTACTCTTTGACTTGAAATGGCAAAAGACAATTTTGCCACAGAAGTTTTAAGCAAAGGATCCAATGTACATATATATATTCCTATTAAAAAAGGATTTCCCGACAAGAGAACAAAATTACTGGTTTTAAAGAACGGAAAACAAAAAAAAAAATATTATTAAAAGGACTATGTTCTCTTCGACGTATGCCAAAGATCAAGTAGGAGTGGGAACTTGTATGCCTCGGTTTATAGCTTAAGAAATAACACACTTTTATCAAAGTTGATAAATCTGACTTTTGACAAGCTTTGTTACACAACCCGACCCAACGTCTCATCTCCACAGGCAAACAAATATTGCCCAAAATTTGTCATTTTGTTTGCCAGATATACGTTCTAAAAGTGCACTTGCATAATATTCACTTTCGCAAAAGCTCCGCATAGAAATTGGCAGTTTTATACAAAATAAAAGCAGAAAAAGCCAGAAGAATTTTATTGAACTAAAACTGATTGAGATGTGTTTTTGGAGTTAAGTTTACATGGGAAGTATGTGTTAAAATAAACCGATTACTCACAACTTTTGGATGTTTAGTTATAATAATATTACTAACATATGGGCAAAATTTTCGAGATTAGGTTTGGATGGATTGTCTGTTTACATAACGTTTTTAAAAATACATGGATACATTTTCGGACTCATATATTCATCGGAGTGCATTCTTAAGACGTTTTTGAGGTTAGGCTTATGTGGTAGGTATGCTCCAAAATAAATCAATCACACTAATTTTTCGCTTTTTTCTTGATTTAAGTACATGAATGTTACATACGAAAAATTGAGTTTCTACATCGATTCCTTTTATTTTTTTCCAAAAATGTGATGTAGTGGCAGAATGGCCCCATTTTAATTTCTATTTCTATTTTTTTATAATTTCTTAAATTTTTTGTTGAATTTTTCCTGGTTTTTTTATTACTTATATTTATTTTTTAATGTTTTTTATTTTATTTCCCTTACATAAACTGCCTTTGCTTCTTCTAATCAACATTCGTTATATCGTCGCTGATACTGCAAAATGTTCATCAACCAAAGGAAATAATTGACAATAAACAATTTGCAGTATCGCCGACGGAATGTCGGTTCGTTAGATTTGCTACGAAGAGATTTATACCACTGTTCACTTAAGCCTCGATGAATACAAAGAGTCTTCAATTAGATTTATATTATAACACCCCTAGTACTTTAAGAGTTCCCGGTGGACTGATTCTTCTGCTTGTTCTGACAATAAGCCTTCAGATGGGTTACTATGGCATGCATTTTTAATGTTGACGTTAACGTTGACGTCGCAATTTTCTGATCATATATTATGATCAAAGAAAAGTTCAATATTTCCCCCTAAGCCTCTTTTATTTGAGGCACAGTGCACAATCTCCTCACACTGGTCACCTCACTTTTTTTGCTAACACTTCCACCTTCTGTTTATAAGCTTCTTTTAGGTGTTAGTTCTTCTTCATCGGAATCATTATCATTGGTATTACTCGATTTCGATAAATAGTTTTAGAGAAATATTGATATGCATATTTCGAAAAAGCCTATAACTTTAATAAGAAATCTCCCAGTAATATTACTCTCTCTTATCAAGATTTCCAAGATTTCTCCAGCAACTGCCCATACAACTGGTCATTCTTCCTTTACAGCTGCATGTGCGCCTTTATCATCATAAAATTCATAAATATAGGCCCTCTTTATACCAACTTTTCAATGTTTCTGACTTCTCAGAAATATGTTTTCTATAATGGGCAGGAACTAGTGATGGCACGATTAATCTACAACCCGGTTATACTTAAAAATTCGGAAAGTATTAATTTTGAGATATATCGAGAAAAATCAGCTACGATTTCACGCAAATTGGTTTTAGAGACTGTGAACAGTTATCTAAAATGCTATGTAAACGGTTTCCTGGTCCATTTTAGTCGAACGTGTCCTTGTTTCGGGACCACTGTGAGCTTAAAAGTTCGAACGCCAAATATTTGTTTAGATAGCAGTGTAGGGAAAATATTAAGTTTTGAAATGACACAAAAAAAGAAAAACGTAAAATTTTGGCTCAAAGATCAGCAGCCAAGTTCTGACAATCGCTAAGCTAAATTTCCCCAAATTTCCATTTTTTTGTGATTTTTTCTCATTTCTATAAAAGCCTGTTCTTTTACAAAAAAATCAATCAATTGAAAATGAGCAATAATTTTTTGTTGTATGAAATATGAACCGGAAATAATGTTACTCATACGCCATGCACCACGATTTTGTACAATGTACACTTAAAATGGAAATATCTTGAGAAACTTAAATGATCTAGAAAAACCGTGTACGGATACGTAATCTACGACCCAAAATTACGTGTCTTCGCGTTTTTGGTGTCATTTTAGTGTACCTAAAGTGAATATTATTTATTATAAGATCCAAGTTGAAGAAACTTCCTGGCCACGCAATTTTAGGACTGTTGAAGTGACCAAAAACACAGAAATAATTGTTTATTTTAAACAAACTTACGAATGCATACTGTTATCAGTAGAGGTATTGTAAAATCCTTCCAAAGAAGATTTCTATTTGCAGTGCTTATGACGACAAGATTGGAATTTTAGAAAAACTTTTTGGTTTTGACGAAATCAACAATTCCTTGTTCATTAACTTTTTCTAAATAACATTCAAAATTATAACGAGCTTTTTTCTATACAAGTAATGTTTAAACAAAAAGCCAACCGACTGCAATGCTCATTTAAAAATTTAGGTGTACAGTTAGTTAGTTGGTTTGTTAAAAAGCTCTTTAAAATGCGGGCTAAACTTCAAAATTGCCTCCCACCGGCAGTTCTTTTTTTTAATGTTTTTACGCGACTTCAAAAAAAGTAGGATGCTATTTTACACACATACACTGAGGGTCATAGAATAGATTCAGCTTACTTTGAAGAGTTTTGGCTATATTTCCATGGTTTATTTTATGTTTAATATTTTTTTATAAAAGCCTGGCTAGCTAGAAACACCATATAAATCCGCTTTTCAAACTTTATACAAAAATTATAAAAATTCGAGAAATTTTCACCAAATTTTTAACCTTTTTATTCAGAATTTTTAGAAAAATTTCTGGTATGCAGTTTTGTAGCCCATTCAATTTTAGGTTAATAAAGTGCAAGTTTGAATTTACAAAACTGCATACAAGAAATTTTTCTAAAAATTCTGAACAAAAAGGTTAAAAATTGGGTGAAAATTTGTCGAATTTTTATAATTTTTGTATAAAGTTTCAAAAGGGGATTTATATGGTGTTTGTTGTATAGCTAGCCTGGCTTTTATAAAAAAATATTAAACATAAAATAAACCATGGAAATGTAGCCAAAACTCTTCAAAGTAAGGCGAGTCTATTCTAATGACCGCCAGTGTATGTGTGTAAAAAAGCATTCTACTTTTTTGAAGTCGCTTAAAAACATTCTAAAAGAACAATTGCCGGCGGGAGGTAATTTTGGCCCGCATTTTAAAGAGTTTTTTTCAAACCAACTTTTTTCGAGAATCAGCCTGTTGGAAATACACATGCATTTATGTACATTAGTTATTTTAAATCGAAAAAAAATTAGAAACTGTATGAAATCACTACCAACCTGTTAATAAGCAGAAACAATGGTCGTCAGCTTTATTGATATTCACAAATAAATTTTGTTTACACTGCACTTCCGAAGCTAGTTCAGTTCTTATTTAAAGCACAATGCATAGCTTAACAAAACTTCAGCCGAAATAAGGCAAAATTGTTAATTTAAGTATTTAACGGTAATTACAACTGACAAACAAAAAATTATTTCAAAAAAACTCAACGCAAAATTTAAATCAACTAACTGTCTGACTATCTGGCACAAGAGATTCAAACACTGAAATTTTTTAAATTTTTGCGCACTGGTTTTGGTGGCGTTAATGTGAACACGCCGAGAAGTATGCAACAACTGATTGCCAGATCAAACGGAACAGGATGTTAAATATCTGCCGCAAATGGGCAATGACGACGACGACGACGACGTTGACGCCGCGCGCTGACAGAAGTAGCGTGTTGCCGTACGTGTGCAGAATTCTGCACGTTCGATGCGTTGAATGTTGATTGTTATCTTGGCAAGCGATGCAATGCTACGATAGCCGAGCTCCAACTGCGTTAAGTTTTGGGATTCGTAGGTGCTCGTTTAAGTGCGCGCGTTTGCTACCGTTAGCCGGTCTCGTTGGCGCACACAAACGCGAATGGATACAAATGAATCGGACAATCGTTGGCTTCGTAGATGTCTACATACATACATAAGTACATACTTATGTATGTATGGCGATTTGGTAACGGCCCCTCAAGCAAGGCAGCGAGACGTATGGGCGAGTGACACTGGAGGTACTACACTGCTGTATGCATACATATCTATGCGCATAGGTACCTACTATTAAAACTTACAATGAACATTCGTACAAATGCAAGTAGCTTCATATATACATACATATGTATGTATGTAAATAAAGCATAGATAAAACAAAATCATACTTAAAACATGCCGTGGCATTGTGACTGCAACCAACCTGTAAGGGGTGTACTGCAGTAAAAGCTTATATGTGAGTGACTTGCTCGCCATGCTGTTGGCATTGTTAGATAGCATCAACAATTGGCATTATGAAGCATAGAACGTTGCATTTAACAACCAACTAACGCCTACAACCATGCAACAATGTTGGAGATTCCGTTTAGTGGATTTGAATGCGCAGATGTGTTTTTGTGTGAATGCGAAATGGGTGGAATTCAAAAAAAAAAAAAAAAATAGATGTATGCTAATAAAAAGTAAAAGTTGTACAAGTTGTTGATGGAGTATGGCTTTGCAGCTGAAATACCGGCCACATTCATGGAAGTTCGCTTGTTTGCTGGGTTTTAGGTTGGAATTTTTATGTCGTTTACGAGTTTATGAATGAAATTGTACGAGCATGCGTAGTTGTTAGTCAACAAAAATCAAAAAAAGTAAACAACTATCATACATACTGTTAGATGAGGCAGAAAAGTAGATATGAGACACATGAAACTATTTTAGTTTGATTTATAGTGGACCGATTTTCCGGCAAAGGTTATAATTTTATAGTTTGCTCTTGTTATGTTTTTTTTTTTATTGCAATTTTTCATATGGAAACAAGTACAAAGATGTATGTTTATCATTGTACTGAAATAACATATAGCTAAATATTTAGCTACTATTTTTAGTTTACCGCCGGCTTTTGGTGTTCTTGCATCATCCTTTTTTCATAGATTCAATTTTTTCTTTGTCTCAGTTACGGGGAGACGCAGAACATAAAACTTATTTTGAACCACTACAGTGTAAAAACTCTAGACTCGGATCACTAGGCGCTGATTTTTGTTAGTGCTACTGGAGTGCATGGGGTCTTAACACATCACAAACAGCCTGTCCACAAAATCTATTATATTTTAAGACTTCCGATAAATATTACGGAAAAATATTAAAACTTATATTAGCTCGACCGATTTAAAAATGCCTCCTAATATCGAGTTTTTAAAAATAAATTTAAGTCTTACAAAAATATTTTTATAATAGTACGTTTGAACGCGCAGTTGCGTAAAATATCAATTGCTAAATTTTAAACGCTAAAGAACAAATACTGACCCGCATAAATAACAATGACTGGGTCAAGGCGAATTTATGCAAGGTGGTGTTACTGGCGAATTTAGATTTCCGCCGCTGTACTTCTTAATGTCAAAATGATGTGTTTGTTTTAATTTTAACTATACTCACTTATTTGTGTTCGTACGCCCTGCTGGAAATTACAATGATTTTTATTTTTCGAGTTTAACCAATAAAGATTAAAAATAATAAATAATATTTTGGTTCTATTTTTTCGCTCAAAAAAGAAATTATTATTACTTGATTTTTATTTTTTCGACTAAAAATAATGAATACACTAGTTTACAGCAAAAATGTTCAATGGAAGCCACTGTCCAATTTCTATGTACAATTGCTCGGTGATTCCGAAAATCGAGTTAATTTTTTTTTCTATGGACACGTTTTGGAGATATTTGCAATTTACCGTTATTCAGCTTAAAACAATAAGGAGTTCCACTTAATCACATATATATCAGTGTTTGGGCCAAGTGGGAATCCACTTCCTCATGTCGTCTACTTACCCACCGTGATATCGATGGGTCACCCCTGACTGCGCGATCCCCTCGTTCTTGCTATTGCTGTAAACACCTCTGCATCTCCACTTTGCGTTTCGCCTATTTTGCGAGCCTGGAAGCCTTTCCGATATGTCGATGAGGCAAAGTTTTGAAACCATTGGTGCTGCTTGAGCTGCACAGAGTCGACGTCTTATTAAATGCTTCTACTTAGGAGCTGAATTTTCGGTAATGATCCGTTGACCAGCTGCTATAATCGCCACATCTCTAACCTTTCTGCTGCTCATTAGGACCTCCTCGGCCTTTAAATGCGCCAGTCGTGCTTGGATTCAAACAGTTTAATAATAGATTGGAGCTTACACATTGGGGGTATTCATCTAACGCTACAAATTTATAAACTCATCACGTTTATCGGCAGCTTACAACGTTATATGAATAGCTCTAGTATGGTAATGCTTGGCCGAGCTCTAGTATGGTAATGCTTGACCGATCTTCTTCGATTGCATTTTTATGAGAAGCTGTTTTTCATGGCAGACATACCCTCAAAGGTTTGCCATCACCTACCGAGGAGCGACTGCTATTGGAAAAAAACTTTTTTATGTTTTGTTTGCTTGATTCGTTTGATGCTGGTCGGAAACTGAGCTTGAATCCAGACCTTGCGGAATGGTATTGCCCACTGTTAACCACTACCCCTTATTTTTTCTCATGGTTGACTTGCTACCACAACTACTTTCGCTATGTCGTCAGCAAAGCCAACGATCTATACTCGTTCCGACAATGCCAATCAATTTTTGGCAACTGGATTTTCCAAAGATTGGTCTCATTAGTCAAACATTTCCGGATAGAAAAAGGCGATAGAGATAGGTAGAAAGTCCATCGCAAAATTTTTAAACATTTCTATAAAATATATATTTTTTCAGAGCCCTAAAACGAAGAAATCTACTTGAAGAAAAGGTTGCGTTTTAAAAGCTAAAAAAGGCCGCGAGCTAGAGCAAGGCTGGGACTATTATTTATTTTAATTCTGGTTCCTAAATAAAAAATTTGCTCTACTTTTTCGAAAATATAACGGTCAACAGTCACATGACTGCCTAGGCGCATGCTTGATGGTAGTAAATATTTCGACACATTCTCAGTCACCTCCACCTTTTTCCATACTCAACTTGGAGAAGGCAAAACAAATGTTGCAGTAGCTGAGGTCGATGGTTTTTTTCATTTGCATACGTCATTAATTGTAAGCTATTATAAAAAAATGTTTCGGAGCGCATGAGATTAAAGAAGTCGCAACATAGAATTTCGCCGTGTCTGCTTTTCTAAGTAAACGCACTCGAAGCTTACTTTCCAAATTGTGACGGAACTGTAGTTATTTCGGTTTTTAAATCAACAAAGTCATGGTGTCTTGGTGTATTTCAGTCTCCTTTTCCGTCGTCTTTCCCAAGATTTGGGTAATGGTGAATACCTGGCCTCCTGGATTAGGCTCAATAGGAGCTTACATCCGAAAAGAAAAGCAGAAAATTATTTAAAGTCTCTTCCAAAAATGAAGAAGGTTATGCGTCTAGTTCTTCCAAATAACTTTATTAACTCTATTAAAATAACAGAACAAAGCGTCAGTTGCAATAGCATGAGAAAAACTCACACTAACAAACACACAGGATGACGTTGTCAACTTTTAAGGCGCAACAATTCTACAGTGGGCAATAATCCTCAACTTTTACGGTTGGTGGGTGCACTTGTAAACATTAACACTTACGTCATTGTAATAGTATTTGCATAACATACATTTGCATATGCGTTCTGTAGGCAAGTTGATTGTTAAGTGTTCGCTTAAGCCAAGCTCGTAGCCTCTTTGACTCGTACGCTTGGAAGCAAGTACTCATATGTATGTATGTTTGCAAGCAAGGCCACCCTAAAAAATAATGAATATTTTATGCGTTTTCTACAAATGGCTTTCAAAAGATTTTTTGTTATTCTACTTTCGCACTTTGCATACAAGCTGCATATGCGAAATAGAAAATAGAAAAAGTCGCACTCACGCGTTTTACTTAATTTTTTCAGATGAAAGTTAGAAAAGTTCACATACCGTTATTATTGAACCGCGATTAAATGTCCGGACTTCGACAACTCTGTAGCAAGTTGTAACGTTTCTATGTATTGGAAATGGAATTAACAATCATAGGTATACATACATACTTACACACACATCAAGTGTTATGTAGCCAGTTAACTCTATTATCCTTCGATAAAAATAGCTTTCAAATGTAGAGTTGCGGAATGTTTTCAATGCCTATATTTGATGTTTGTTTTTATGGAGGAGTAAATGGTTTTAATAAATAGCTGAAAATAGAGTTAAAATGTAAAGTGACTTATAAATAACTAAACATGTGGGTGCAGAACATTCTCGAAAACTTTAAATAATATTGCAAAAATTCGCCAAGCCGGCGAATATAAAAATAAATGAGATATGTATACTGGGTTTGGGTTTTTTCCTCAATTTATTTTATTGCATATTTGTAAAATTTACGAAAAACTAGCACTCTTAGTCACGAAAGTAAACGTTCGTAGAAATTCGATGTCAGCTATCGTCAAACCGATCAAAATTGCGGTGGACTGAGCAATAGCCTGGAATTAAATTAAGAAATTTCCATATAATAGTGGTTGCCCTTTTTGCATCTCGCAAATTTTGCTGCATAAAAGTCCTTTAAATGTACTACACTGAGGGAAAAAAATATTAAAATCAAATAGAAACGTAATTGATCTTACTATAAACGTCAACGAAAGTACTGTATATTGGTAAATATTCAATACAATTACGCGCATATTAAAATGACCTCGTTCATACTGAAAAAGCATCCACGAAGTGAATAATCAAGTCAAAAACTAAAAAAAAAAATTGAATTTGCAAGTTTTGCCTGCAGTGGAATTCGAACCCGACCATCTCCGGATATCAACAACTTGTGGCAAGCATCTTTGCGCTACACCCAGTCATATAAATTTGCTTTGTTGAATATCCATCAACACCACAGCACGTGATTTGTACTATGTATGTATGTGTGTGTTGTCACCGCTCTCAGAGCGGCGCTCTGCATGCTTGGGATGCGTATGTACACTTACATACATACTATACATACTCAGATGTGAACAGTCAAATACGTGCGTAATAAATTTTGTATGAAAATATTATTTTTAAATACGAACATTTTTAAACGTTAATCAAATATAAAGTATTCATTTTTACTATGCACTATTTCCCTCAGTGTACTTCCGAGTGGAGTTAACTCAATTAAATTTCTTAAAAAAAATCACCTCGGTAGCAATATTTGCCATTAAACATATTATGTAAAAAAAATTTAAATCGCAACAACATTGAACCAAAAATCCATCTCTGGATTACAGTACCTTTCCGACAGAAAAAGAATCATCGAAATCGTTTGACGTGATCCAAAGTTATGCGGTAACATACATAAAAAAA